ATATCCTACATATCCCAAAATGGTCTAAAACTCGTCCGAAACTCACCCAAGGCCCTCGGGACCTCATCCAATCACACCCAAAAGTCCTTAAACACAACACGAACCTACTCAAGGCCCTAAATCACACTAAATAACATCAAAGCCGTGAGTCATCGATCAAGATCAAACTCTTAAGTTCATAAACTTCAACCAAGCGTCTGATTCAAGTCTAACTAATCCGGAATGAACCCAAATTTGCACACAAGTCATAAATTACCATATGAACCTATTCGAAGGCTCGTAATCCAAAACGGACATCAATTACCTTAAAGTTAACTATGGGTCAAACCTATCGACTCTCTAAACCTTTAAATTTTCAACTTTCGGCAATTAGCCTCAAAATCATCTAAGAACACTGTAACTCAAATTCGGGCATATGCCCAAGTCTAAAATCACTATCCAGACCTAAAAGAACCATAAAAACTCAGATCTGAGGTCAAATACACAAAAGTCAAACTTGGTCAACACTTCTAACTCAAGCTTTTAAATCAAGAGTCAATCTTCCAAATCAATCCTGAATCACTCGAAAACCAAAACTGACCATACACAAAAGTAATACATCATATGAGCTACTCAAGACTTCAAACCACTGAATGAAATATTAATGCTCAAAACGGCTATTCGGGTTGTTACATACCTTAGTCATAGTCATATTTTTCAGTCATGATATTATATCTGTGTGTTATATATATGTGCACTCTTTATATGTTATCTCATATTTTGATAGTGACCTTGTGTGTGTGATACTGGTTTGAGATGAGTTGTGTCACGTCGGTATATTCTGTGCGGTATTTTGATTATGGTACTGTAAGATGTTGGCATAATGAGACTTGAGGAGATTGATGGCTCATCTTGGGCCATAAAGTCAAGTTGGTATTGATTTTAAGGTGACGCTTGTGCCAAGGCCCCCTATTAGACTGAGTGATATTAATTGTTCACTTTTGATTTGATTGGCGCTTGNCTTGATATGTGCTTAGTGAGGGACTTATGCCAGGCACCCGTACAGTTCTGATTGTGTGCATTTGTGATGATTCAGGGACTTTGAGCCAGGTACCGTGAGCATGCTGAGACTATCGTTAAGGGGCATTTGTGCCAGGCACTATGTATGTTCTAAGATTGTGTTTACTTGATGATTAAACTATAATATCGTTGATTTTGGCATAAATACTTATCATACAGGCATAGAGTTGTACCTTCCTCATGCTATTTGTTATTTAAACTCTTTAAAGTCGATGTCTTGATTGATATATTTGGAAAGCATGCTTATTTTCCTCTTAATGTGACATAGTTGAACCTGATATTATCGAGTTATTTTTTATTTTCGCTATTATTATTATGTTGTTGTTGCTGTTGGCTGTTGAAAGTGAGTATTGAACCTTGCTAACCTCGTGGCTGCCTTCAAATCGAGGTTTGTCTTGCTACTTATTGAGTACATGGGGTCGGTTGTACTCATATTACAATGCGCACTTGATGTGCAGATCTTCCAAGTGTTACTGATCGTGGTGGTTGCCAGTGAGCCATATCATGACTTGTTGGAGATTTCGAGGTAGCACTGTTGTTCCATTCGCAGGTCTTGAAGTCCTCTCTTTAATATCATGTCATTGCCGTTCAGTTTTCCAGACAGTATTGTATCTTTTTCAGACTCTGTATTTAGTATTTTATAGAGTTCATATTTTTGTCGATACCTGATTTTGGGATGGTTTCAATTGTATAGTCATTTGACTTTAGTTATTTATGCTTTTTCGCTATTTGAGATTTATTTCTTACTGTTGTTGAAGTTTTTTTATATATTTATTGTTGGCTTGCCTAGCAAGCGATATTAGGCGTCATCACGGTTCCGATGGGATTTGGGGTCGTGGCAATGAATGCTCGCAAAAAGCAAATCTTGGTATTGACTTATTGAAAATCTCTTTGAGATTTCTTAGATAAATCTTTTTATATGAGGCCGTTGTTATGCTTTTAATCAAGAGTAGTGAGTTGCACTTACTCAACAAAGGGGTGCTTGGTCAATCTATTTGTATATTAATGCTAGTTTCCTATATAAAAATATAGTGCTTGGGTTAAAATAATCGGAGCTCCCATTAGTCCCTAAATAGGTCTATCTCTCGTATGCATGATACATACCATGTCCGTTCAACCAATATAATGCACGAAACATGTTCAAAATGTATTCACTAAGCTATTTTCTTTTTTCAATTCTTTGGTATATATAAAACTTAGTGAAGTATTTAAGAGCATAGCAGTTTTCTGATAACGTGTGTACGCTAGGAAGCCTATAATTTTAGCTTTTCTATTATGACTGCATAATGGGGATAGACAAATAACAACTACTATAGTGGGAGTGTTATTAATCCAAACTTAAGGAACGAAATCTTTGATTTTCGACATCTCATGTAAACGGGTGACAATGAGAGAGCTCTGCCTGTCAGGGCAGATCTATCTTATAGGGTTGGAACGGTACACCACCGACACGCGTCGGCAAAAATTCTTAATAAGTATGTTGATATCTGTGACAAAAATGGTCATATATAAAAAGTGGCGCCCAAATTACACAGTGGCATGTGGGTACCATGGTTCAACGTTGCTTTTTGAAGTCTCTCATTTACCGGACGGGTCTAGGTTTTCTTCTTTTATTTTAAAAAAAATAAAAAATCTAGTCCCTATTTCCTTTATTCCTTGTTGGGCCTTGGGCCCTCATCACTTCTCCCTTTTCTTTGGGGATTTGTAGTCGTACCCTATATTTGTGCAATATTTTAACTTGTACCCTATTTTTAAAAATTATTGATTTGGTAGCTAGCGATAAAAAAATCCGTAATAATATGACAATTACACCCCTGACAAAAGATATAAAACATGCATCACGCATTAATCGCGTGATCTGCAACCTCATTTGTGAAAAAGGATCTCCTCCTCTCCTCTCAGCAGCTTTATCAAAAAATCATAAACTTGTCCAAATTCATCTTCAGAATCACACTTGCATGAAGTTGTTTCACCTTGAAGCTAAAACTCCATGCTAATGTAGCATGAAGTTGTTTCATATTGAAACTAAAACTTCATGCTAATATACCATGAAGTTGTTTCACATTGAAGCTAAAACTCCATGCTAATGCATGTTGAAGTTATTTATCCAGCAGTCTACAATTTTGTCACGAGTTTTATCCGAAACTTCAGTCTAAACATGCTGAAGTTATTTAGTTCATTTGCTAAAACTTCAGACTAAATATGCTTAAGTGTTTTAGTTCATTTGCTAAAATTTCAGACTAAACATGCTTAAGTTTTTTAGTTCATTTGCTAAAATTTCAGACTAAACATGCTTAAGTTTTTATCTTGCAGTATGTAATTTTCTAATGAGTTTTTGCTAATGCATGCTGAAGTTATTTTGTTCATTTCCTAAAATTTTAGACTAAACATACTTAAGTTTTTTAGTTCATTTGCTAAAACTTCATACTAACATGCTTAAGTTTTTGTCTTGCAGTATGTAATTTTCTAATTACTTTTTTCTAATGCATGCTGAAGTTATTTAGTTCATTTGCTAAAATTTCATACCAAAACATGCTGAAGTTTTGCCCTGCAGTCTATAATTTTGTCAATAATCTTTTATTAAAGAAGGACAAAATTATCTTTTTAAAATACTTTTTAACAAAAAAAAATTGGGTACGGGTGCAAACGGAAAAATAAAATGGGTATAAGTTAAAAAGGGGCAACCAAATATAGCGCCCCATGCAATTTGTACCTTCCTCTTTCTTTTTTCCTTTTTTTTCTTCCTATTATTTGCTACTAAATCCTCTATCTTCTTTCTTTTTTAAATTTCTTTACATTAGCTTATTTTGAGTGACTTTTAAGTAAAAATAGTTTTTAAGCCATAAGTTAAGAATTCTACCTTTTGGCTTTTGGCTTTTGGCTTATTTTTGTCATTTTAGCTTAAAACAAGTGCTTAAAAGTATTTTTTTACTTTATCCAAAATTACAAAATGGCTTAAAAGCGATTTTGACTTAAAAGCACTTAAAATAAGTCAATACAAACGGGCTCTATATCTTATTTCATGAGCAATTTTTTTATGGGTAGTCTTAAAATTCTAGTTAATATATAGTTTTTCTCTTTTTAGTGAGACAATATTAATTTATATATTGGAATATAATTTGAGCAGTATCATTTATTAGTTTTTAAAAATATATCTTGATTAATAGAGGTTTTGAGTTGACTCTCATAGATGGGAAATTTTAAAAACTTTGCTTTGAAAATAATTGTCATATAACTCAACAATTAAATTAGAAAAATTAACCCAAGAGTAATGATAACTAATTGAATCAAACAAAATTATATAGTAATTAAGCTATACTTTAAGAAAATTTCCTAATTGGAGGCATACTTTCATGAAATATTATTTATTTATTTATTTGTAATTTTATCCAAGAACATAATTAAATCAAGCATAAAAAAATTGAACTAAAATCGAACTCATTTGCCTTTTTCTAAATAAAAGACCTAACTGAATTAATCAAAAATTAACTGAATCATCCATTCTTTTTATTCAGACTATGTCGTTGAATCATATATATATATATATATATACACATACTGGTACCCTTAATCTTCAAATTCTAGATCCGGTTCTGGTTTTGATGNTCAAATTTTGGATCCGCTTCTGGTTTTGATGCCATGTTAAATTGATCAACATATTTAAAATCTTAAGTTGTCACAGAGAACACAATTTTATTTGCTTGTTTATTTTTTCTAGTTCAACTTCTTGATTTTGACTCTTGCGAATAGTACTCTCGCCAGCCCGCATAGTCAGTCACCATCAGGGAACTCCAATTTACAATGGCTTCTGTTTATCTAGTTAACCATATGTTCCATACAATTTATCTCTACATACTCTTTGAT